TTGCTTGTTAGCACTCCAACTGATAAGAGAGTTCCCCAAGAATATGCAGAAACCACCTGTTGATCGTCTATCAATGTGACAACCTGCCCAATCAGCATCTGAAAAGGCATTCATGCTGAGAGGAAGGGAATGTTTAGGAAACCAGAGACCAAGATCCATAGTTCCTTTAAGGTACCGTAAGATCTGTTTAACAGCTTGAAGATGGGATTGCCGAGGTTGATGCATGAACTAGCATACCAGATTAACTGCAAAGGAAAGATCGGGCCTGGACCAAGTGAGGTATTGTAATCCTCCAACCAAAGATCGATACTCGAAAGGATTTGATAATAATGAAGACTGGTGATCCAGGGCAGAAGTGCTCATAGGAGTAGCACAAGGTTTGGCACCAAGCATATTTGACTTCTGGAGCAAATCAAGGATGTATTTAGTTTGGGAAATGAAGATCCCTGATGATGACCTTTTGACTTCAATGCCAAGAAAATAGTGAAGAGGACCCAAGTCTTTGATTGGAAAGAGGGTACTGAGTTGGGAGATAGTATCTTTACAAGCTTAAGGATTCGGACCCGTCACTAGTATATCATCAACATACACGAGGATGAAGACTAAAGCTGAATCCTTTTTAACAAACAGAGAATGATCATTTGTGGAACCAGTGAAGCCTATAGAGAATAGAGCAGTGTGAAGCTTCTCATACCAAGCCCTAGGAGCTTGTTTGAGTCCATACAAGGACTTGTGCAAATGACAGACATAGTTAGGCTTTGTAGAATCTTCAAATCCCAGAGGCTGTACCATAAAAACAGATTCAGATAAGGTGCCATGCAGAAAGGCATTGCTTACATCCAACTGATTTAGAAACCAGTTGAAATGAGCTGCTAGTGTAAGAAGCAATCGAATGGTGACAGGTTTGGCTACTGGACTGAATGTTTCAGTGTAGTCTATACCTTGTTGTTGATGAAAGTCTTTGGTAACAAGCCGGGCTTTAAACCTGTCAATTGTGCCATCTGGTTCTCTCTTGATCCGGAAAACCCATTGACATCCCACCAGATTTTGAGAAGAATGTGGGGGAACAAGTGGCCAGGTACCAGTGCTAAGTAAGGCATTAAATTCTTCCTGCATTGCTTGTCTCCAGTGAGGGTGTTTAGAAGCTTGAAGATAGGTAGTGGGAATATAATCTGGAGCAATATGAGATGGAATAGGATGTTTGGTAGCATTAAGAGCTTTGGGTTTAACAATTCTAGATTTTGATCTGGTTTGCATAGGATGGGTGTTTATTGGTGATGGGGGTTGAAGAGATGTAGAGGAACCAGTGGTAGTTGGTTCACTGTCAAGAGAGGAAGAAACTGTAGTTGAGGTTGGGAGAGAGGAAGATGTAGGTGATGGAGAGGAGAGATTAGGTTGAGGAAAGGTTAGGGATGTAGGAATGGCATTGAAGGTAGAACTAGAAGATGGTGGCAGAACTGGAGAATTGGGAATATGATGAAAGAGAAATTGAGTTTCATCAAAGAGCACATGCTTGGAAATATAGACCTTCCTGGTTACAAAATCCAAACACTTGTAACCTTTATGTTGTAAACTGTACCTGAGAAAAACACACGGTTGACTTTTGGGATCAAGCTTGTAATTTGTGTATGGCTTGAGCCATGAGAAACACTTGCAGCCAAATACTCTGAGATAGTTGTAATCTGGAGGTTTGTTGAAGAGAGATTCCTAAGGAGAACATTTTTTAGCAGTGGGAAGCCTGTTGATAAGATAAACAGCGGTGGCAAAAGCATCAACCCAAAACTGATATGGAACTTTAGAAGCTGCAAGTAAAGTTCTTGATGTTTCCACTAGGTGTCTGTGTTTTCTTTCAGCACAACCGTTTTGCTCTGGAGTATGAGGGTAACTGAGTTGATGCATAATTCCATGAGCCCTTAAGAAAGTTGAAAATTGAGTGCTAAGGAATTCTCCACCAGAATCTGATCTCAATGTAACACTCTTAGTGCATAATAAGTTCTTAACCATGGACTTGAAGTGAATGAAAGTAGAGAAAGCCTCAGATTTGTATTTAAGAGGAATAAACCAACAATACTTTGTGAAATCATCAACAAAGATTATATAATATATGAAACCGTGTACATAGATAGTTGGTGAAGGGGCCCATATATTTGTATGCAAGAGCTCTAAAGGCTTAGTTGTAGAACAGGAAACTACAGAGAAAGGCAATTTGGAACATTTGCCCATAGCACAACTAGAACACAGATACTTATGTATATCACCAAAAACTGAAATACAAGAATGAGAGGCAACTTTATTTAGTATTTTGAAAGAAGGATGGCCAAGCCTTTGATGCCATGTATCCTGATATGCTTTTGAAGCTGCTGCAAAAGCATGTTGTTGTTGTCCAGCAAGGGAAGGTATGGTGTGAAATGGATAAAAGCCATCTTGGACAAGGCCTTTAAAAAGCACCTTCTCCGAAGAAAGATCCTTCACAATAAAGTGGGAAGGATATAGATGGACTGAGCATTGATTATCAAGAATAAATTTGTTTGCAGATAGCAAATCTTATTTTAATGCAGGGACATGTAACACTTGTTTAAGATCAAAACAATGAGTAGTAGTAGGTACACTAGAAGAACCAAGATGAAGAATGGGCAAACCTTTGCCATCTCCAATGTAAACCTGCTCGGGTCCAATGTAGGATTCTGGATTTGTCAAATTTGCATAGGAATTTGTCATGTGTGATGATGCACCAGAGTCAAGTAACTAAGTGTGTTGAGGAGCAGAAAGCAGATTGGGAAGGAGTGCCAAAATGAGGATTTAGACGCTGAGGGCACTCAATAGCTTCATGATCAAATTGCTTACAGATTTGACAAATGGTTCTTCTGCCAGAGTTGTTGAATCTGGATCCACGATTGTTAGTATACCTCTGATTGTTGGACCGATTGAAATTGTTCCTCTGAGTATTGTTTATGAAATTTCCTCGATTTGACGAATTTCTAGGGTTTGAGAAATTGTGATCGGAACCACGACCTTGATAGGAATTTGAGTTGGAGAAGTTGTGAGCAGTGTAGGCCTGAGAAATTGGAGGAGCAGAAGGTAGAGGCAGAATTCCAGCAGAGGTATTGAATGCCTGAATTGGTGTAGGTGTAGTCTTCTTGCGATTTTCAATCTGGATTTCCTTGCTCAGTAAGAGACCATGGAGCTCATCAATGGTAGTAGATCCAATTCAAAATTGAATCGCATCAACAAAAGAGTCGAACTCATGAGGTAAACCATGAAGAGTTACAGAGATCAATTCAGAATCATCGATCGGAGCACCGGCACTGGCCAAGGCATCAACAATTTCTTCAATTCTTTAAAGATATGAAGCAGCAGATGAATCACCTTTTGTTATAGATCTAAGTCTGGATCGAAGTTCATGAATGTGAGACTGCGAAGCCGTTGCTAGTCTCGATTCGAGTTTAGACCAGAGTTCTCGAAAGGAATTCACACCAACAATGTAAGGGATCACTGAATCAGAGAGAGTGGAATTGATCCAGATAAGAATATTCTGATCAGTTTCATACCAGGTGATGAATGCCGGATTCGGAGAAGAATTTCTAGATGAATCAGAGAGATACTGGGGCGGAGCAACTTGAGAGCCATCGATGATTCCAGTGAGATTATACCTCCTGAAAATCGGAGCAAAAAGAGCGCTCCAGGTGAGATAATTGGTGGTGGTGAGCTTGATCGGCACCATAGAACCAATGTTCTGAATCGTAATGGAGGAGGTTGAAGAGTTGGAAGTTTAGGGCACAGAGATGAGGTGGGAGACGCGCCATTAGCAGAAGGAGACGAAGATGCTGCCATTGATGACGGTGAGAATTAGGGTTTTGAGCACAGAGGCGGTGCAGAAAGGCGATGCAACAAGTGCCAGAGAGAGGCGGTGCATAAGCGAGTAGGATTGGGAGGTCGTTAGACAAAAGGCGATGAAACCATGAAGAAACTAGAAAGAGAAGTAAAAAATTATAATTGTGATTCTTATTATCTCCATAAGATTACATGGGTATATATACAAATAGGATATCCTATGAATAAGACTAACTCTTCTAACTAATTTCAGTTAAGAAACAAATAAGAAAATATCAATTGGGATTTACAATACTACCCTTAATAGTAATTCATCCGGAAACTCTTTTAGATGTCAAATCAAGTCATTAACGTCATCCTGTAAATAATTGTGCGCAGGCGGTTGACAGGAACCGAATACACTCTTTAGCCAAAACAAGTACCATCACTCCAATTCATAACATCTTTTATAAACTTCCCATTGAACAAATATGATTTATACTCGCTCGGTCAGAGGTGAAGTGGAACTGCACTTATGTTTGCAAGCCTTTAACATAATATTCGTAGTCTAAACACAAAAGCATGGTCATTATCCGTACCATGTCTGTTTGCATCATGATCAGAAGACGAAGGAAGCGATTACATCCATAGGAAAGACATCACAACTAGAAGAGTTCAATTCATCTCACCATTTCAAGCTTGTATTTGATTCTCTCCTCAGCATTTGCAAACTTCAGCCTTTTCTTCTTCCAAACTCCGAGCCGACGTGGGTCCTTCCTATTGGCGGCTTTTCTCTCCTGCTTCTCTCTCACTCTCTGCTGCTTCAACCTCTTCTTGGTCAGCCACTTCTTCTTTTTTGGTGGATCGATTTCGTGCATCTCGAACTTGGGTTTCCCATGTGATATCACCAAATTCACCCACCCGTGGCTCAAATTTCTGAGAACCCATGATGGGTTTGGCAGAGGCAAGTGTTTTGTTGCAATGAAAATTGGTTCTTGGGTTGGAAAACCTGACCTGGAAGATAGAAAATGTGGCAGGAAAGTGGTGAAAACATATGAATTTTTTCCACAATCCAAAAACATTATCTTCAAGAATTTACATTTTTTAGAACTCATTAACTTTTTCTCATACTTTTTCTCATAATTCAATTAACGGGTTTAATGGGTTGTGTTTGGTTTGGATGCAGAGAAAACTGGTTGTAAGGATAGCAGCAACAACCAAACGACTATATATGTGTTGCAGAGAGAGAGAGAGAGACAGACAGACTACCATAGAAAGATAGGTTGGGAAGGCGACGATTTGAGAACCAAAGCAGCTCTGCAAACAGCGGCAGAAACCACAGCTCTTGCCATTTTACTGACAAATTTCCAGAGAGAGAGAGAGAGCGCACGGTACGATCTAAACTGAACCGGGTTCAAACCTCCTGGGACCGGGCGGTTTATGATACGGCTGCGATTCTGCAGGCCAAAGTCCACCCAATAAACCACGTGTCAATACTAGAGCAGATTGAGGCTAAATGTTGACTTTTTATATCTTTCTCTTTCCAATCCGCTTTTGACACATCATATCAAATTGAGCCCCCATACTTACAACCTGAACCCTCTCTCCTTCCTCCTCTCTCTCTGTCTGGCGTCGAGACTCGAAACCAAAGCGTTTCCATGTCCTTTCCGATCGACTAACAAAAGGGTGTTCACGAATTTACAGTAATTCTCTTCTTCTTGTTTTTTTTTGTAATTTAATTTGATCTTAAAAATTGTGAATTTTTTTCCTTTTTTTATGAGATTATTTTAGGGTTTTTGTTTAAAAAATTTTGTTTAGTTTTCTGTTTGGTTGCTGGGAAAATGTGTGACTATGAATGGTAGTGAAAAAAGGTTTTAGATTCTGGATTGTTTTTCCTTCTGAATTAATTATTTATGGATATTTGTATGTGAGAGTAAACACATGGATATTTAGGAAATTTGGAGCACTGACTTTGTTTGATAAGTGAGGGATTGTGGGAAGAGAGGAGAAGAAGATTAATTTTCTTATCTCTTAATCAATGGCTTGGACCTTTTGATTAAATTTATCTTGTTTTGTTTGATTGTTAATCGGTTCAGTTGATTTCATGTTGCTTTTAGGTAGCCTAATTGGCATTTAAAAGAGACTGGAATATTACTTTATTTTTCTCTTTTTTCGTTCTTTCAGAAATCAACCAAAGAATTGGGGTTTATCTCAGATGAATTTTCGATATACGGGAACCTAATATCGACAGAGTGGATAAATTTATCTTAATAGTATCGGTAATTAGGAGCTCTTAATTTTTGGAGGTTTTTTTCTTGTCCTTATACTCACTGTTGGGTTAGCTCAAACCAGATCTCTACCTTTAGTTTGTACTTTGCGGAATCGCTCATGGTGAACCTTCCACAAATTTGAAATTGCAGTCTGATTGGTCCCCAAATTTAATCTGCCCAAGTCTCATACAGTTATTGTGTTGTTTTCTGAAGTTATTGTTGTTATCTGAACAGAAGATTATGAACTTTCTTCAGATTTTCTTGTTATATCTTGTAATCAATAAGTCTCTTCAAATGTGTGTCTGCTGACCGTCGTTTTTATGCTGACCATCATTTGAGTGTGGGGCAACTTATAAAAAATCTTCTTCTTTTTGCAGTGGAATTTGCACTTGATGGTGATGTTGATGGCGAGGTGGTGGGAAGTTCTGCTGAGATGGAACTTAGTAGAGCAGGTGATGAAAATGAAACAGGTGGTAGTTCTGTTGAAGGGGCATTCCAACTGGGTCTGGATGATAAAATAAATCTAGATTCTCCTCGAGGGGATATAATTCCAGAAGCAGTTCCTGTAGTATCGGTAGTGCCAGCAGATGAGCCATATGTGGGTCAAGAGTTTGAAACAGAAGCAGCTGCTCATGCATTTTATAATGCATATGCCACACGTGTGGGATTCATAATTCGTGTAAGCAAACTCTCTCGATCAAGGCGTGATGGATCTGCCATTGGTCGTGCACTTGTTTGTAATAAAGAGGGTTATAGAATGCCTGACAAACGTGAAAAAGTTGTAAGGCAAAGAGCCGAGACCAGGGTTGGTTGTAGAGCAATGATTTTGGTGAGGAAAGTAAGTTCTGGGAAATGGGTTGTCACAAAATTTGTAAAGGAGCACACTCATCCTTTGACACCTGGAAAAGGTCGAAGGGATTGCATTTATGATCAATATCCGGTTAGTTCTTTTTCTTCTTTTTTGACCATTATTGTTTGCCTTTTGTACATTGTCTAAATTTTCTTATCCCTTGCAAAGTTCTGAAGTCTGTTAATATGTAGAAAAGGCCAATTCCGATCATTAGTATCTAAGACAATTTTTTTATGAACTTTATGATAATCGATATGATCCAGGAGACCCATATGAAGTGTGAGTATTCATGTATAAAAGAAGTTATAGAACACCATTGTGTATGAGGGCTTTTATTCTATATAGTTTCTTTCCCCTGAGTCCCTGACCTGGATCCTTATATTGGGAACTTTTCCTCGTCAGCAAGACCTGCAGTGGAGAAGAAACCCCTTATCTGTTCGAAAAAGAATTTTGATTTTTCTTTTGACATTTATGGCATAAGGCTTGGACTTTTGGTGATCTCTTGAGATTTAAATGAAGGGGTCAATTCACTTCATCTAAATATGAAAGGTTTGTTTTTATAATTTGAAGTTTGTACAATGGGCTTAGGTTTTTTTTTTTTTTTTTAAATTAATTTTTTTTTTTAATTTTTTTTTTAATTAATTAATTAATTTATTTTTTTTCAGTCGTTGCACATAGGTCTTTTACAAATAATGGGTGGTATATCACAGTCTGTAGTCATGAATATCTTCTTTTCTATTACCATTGGAGTTACTTAACAATTATCGACCAGTAAAGAACGTAAGTAGAATCAATAATTCTACTGTAGATGTCTATCACTATGTTTGGGCTTTGAAATGGAGTAAATAGTGTAATCATATTCGGCATCCGGTCAGGTTTATTTTAGCAACCTAAGATAAAAAAATATAAAAAAAAATCAGAACTTAAACTATACTGGACATCCTCACACATGTTATGCATGTGACAAATGCAATTGTTGAGGAGGAGAAAGAGATAAAGAGAGAGTGGTGATCGTTATTGCACAGGAAGAGAGAGTAGTGAGAACTTTATGGAGAATTTTATTTTCTTAAAATAAAATTTAATTGCTCCTTTTAGACAGTAAATAAATTTTTAATTGCTTGTTTACCCTGATTATGTTTGTTTTTTTCAATTCTTTTAATAAGGGTTAATGTTGGTAAAACAGGGACATAGGAGGTATTATATCAAGGTTGACAACGGCTTTTCTCATAATAATAATCTCTCTAAATATAGGTCTAAACAAATAAATTTTTGCATCTAAATGTTGGCAGCATTAGCAACCCATATTTACTTAGTAGATTTGCAGCCATCTGTACTGTAAGCTATCGGGTGCTACGTAATGAAGCTATAAATAATGATTAAATTTTACAAATATGGAGGCTACAATGACTAGAAGGTGGCCAGAAGTAATATGATTGGGAGATGTCTAAAACAAAGGCAGGAATTATGAATTTTTTGGAATAGATCAGAATCAAATTTTGTCAACTCTGGCTTTTTTGTTTAATGTTCGTCCGGAACCGGATTAAGCTCCCTTCTTTTTTTGAACGAAATGTTTATTCACAATAGTATTTAATGTTGCGCCAGAGACAATGTAATTCTGTTTCTATTCAGGATTCTTTTGACATGCTGCAGCGAGTGTCTATCTACACTATAGTCGCCTAAAATCGGACGTGGTGGTAGAATTTTTTGAATGTAGTTCTTTAGTTCTTAATATTTTTGGATGAGTTTGTAATAGAACGCATGCCCTCAAACTCTTAGAAGACAAACAGTTGTTCTGGGTCCTTGCTACTGATAGCATCTTGTTTTATATTTGAAGTATTAAATTCTATTTTATAATAGCTTGTTTTATATCTGAAGTATAATAGACTACTAGTCTGTCAGCTTGACCAGTTGTCTCCTGTGTTGTAATTTGTCTAGTAATAAAATCTCGATTTCTTATGAAAGAATGAAAAAAAAAGAAACTATTATTGTATAAGGCCGGCCTACGAAAAATACTCATCATTTCTTCACTTAGTCAGGTAGTGTGCAAAGGCCCAAGATGATGATTTTGTTTCTCCAACATGCCATTAGATCCTTGCATGTGTAAATGCCGTCGAGTCCTTAGCTCATAGTTGTCCATTTCCGCAATGAGTTCTCGAGATGATTTGCACTTGCTTTCTAGGATGTTTAGTTGTGTTATATCGTTGTTTTTGTCGGCTATGCTTGTGTATAGGTTGTCTTTTGGTTTTCACTTTTCGTCATATTGCTTTCTCTATTCCTGATTTGGTGAACACCATGCAGTTTCTATTAGTTTTTGTTTTCTGAACATCATGCAGTTTCTATTTGTGAGTATGGTTTCCAGCTAAGATCATTAAAAGAAGGTTCTAGCCTATTAAGTATACAGTTGAAATTGAAACATTTCCTAGTTGGATGGATTTATGCATCCAAAATATGGAATATTTCAGTATGCCTTTTAATACATAACATGTGGGAGTTGTGTTATTTCTCCTCTCCAATTGACTTCTTTGTCGCTAAATCATTACGTTGAAATGGACCGATGCTGAAAATCATGATGAGAAAGTGAGGTGTTATTTTTGTGAAAATTATAAAATGGGTTTGAATTCTTGAATGCTGGATATTCTTTTTGGAAGATGCAGATGATAGTATTCTTAGTGCCATGATTTAATTCCTTGTACTGGTGACGCATGCTCAAATCCAGCTATCAACTTGAATTTTTAAGAATCATTATAATATGGCTTGTGCCTCTCCCAGACCCTGCGTAAAGCGGAAGCCTTGTGCACTGGGTACGACATTATAATATGGCTTGTTATGTATTTTAATTTGCCTTTTGTTTTCTCCTTCAGAATGAGCATGACAAGATTCGGGAATTATCTCAGCAGTTGGCCATAGAGAAAAAACGTGCTGCGACATATAAAAGACATCTCGACCTAATATTTGAGCACATTGAAGAACACAATGAGAGCCTATCAAAAAAGATCCAACACATAGTAGAGAGTGTGAAGGAGATCGAAGGCAAAGAACAGCAAGGATACAGATAAGGATTGCTGCAACTTACGCACTTTTTGGTTTTGGTAAAACATAGAATCAAGCAATGTCGTGGACAATACTACAGGATGAATCGGTCAGTCATTGTTTTGATTTTAGTTTTGGTTTACACAACCTTGTGGTTTACCCGAGTTTTAGGTATGCAGTTAGTTTCTATAGCTTTGGGATGTTTTAGTCACTGGCATTCATTCGACTGGTATGGGTAAATTTCTTGTATGCAGCAAATGGTCAGTAGGGAATTTGATTGAGTCCATGTACAGTTTTACCTGAGCCATCCATGTGAATTGTGCTTAACAATGCAATAACTTAAAGCAGATTATAGGACGTTCGGAGGAAGTTGGAACGGGACCATCGCATTACACGGGATATCTGATATGAGGTCTGTTTTCTGTAGCTTCAGAATACTGTATTCAATCCTCCTTTTAAATACAACTCTTGAGAATTTCCCTTTACTGATGGTTTTGGTTTTAGTACTCGCTGGAGAGGGCATTTTCCAAAAATTTGTAACCACTTGTAACGACCTTGTTTACAAGTTTCAGTTATTTATGGGGAGGCGTTGGTTACTACTGAAGTGAATCAAATTCTTGATCCAATCTTTTCACTAACAATACGGTCTAGTGGTATTTTCTAAGTGGAGTTTTCATATTTTTTCTCGTATTTTTCAGCTTACTTGGATTACTAGTTTCAATACAATTTTTTGGCCAGAGTTCTATACATAATTATGCGGCTCAAAACTTTGGTGTGATGTGATTTGTGTTTATTTGGGAGTGTGGATGTGTAAACTTAAATATGAATCTCAATAGGATTTGGAAATCAAATCCATAGACTTTGTATTACTTGTAAGGCAAGAAAGTCCATCATGATTAATATAAGGTTTAAGGCAAGGGGTGAAATAACAATTCTCACTTACCCATGAGCCCTTCTCTCCTTGTTGTCCCGCGCTCTCACTCACTTTTAGAATTTGTTTCACAACACGTTATTAGCACAAAATCTCACAACATGTTATGCCGGCATTGAAACCTAGCCCCCACCATGTTTTTAGGTGGATAACCATGTCTTGTGACCCACGCCGGCGTCGACTTCCCTCCTCTGTGCCTAATTAGGGTTCCATTGAGAACCCATGTCTTGTACCATGAGTGCAACCGCCTCCTTTGACTCAATCAAGTATGCTAGTGAGGTTGGAGCTTTTGGCTCGACCACAGAAACCCCAAACGTCGCTTGGTACGGCAAGCCTGGTTATTCCAGCGAGAAAGACACACACCCTGTGATTCGGCTAGTGTCTGTCGAACGGTATATACCTGGCTTTGGCTGGAGTCTACCGAAAGACCGACTCAACTTTGTATGGGATCTCCGAATAACTTGTCCCGCTTCAGCTGGGATGTACCGAGAAACACCCAATTTCGATTGGGATGTACTCAATCTGCCAACTAAGTTTGGCTTTAGAATCCTGAATAGACCCCAATTTCGGCTGGGACCTACCAAACCCAAGTTTGGGTTTGTCCCTAGGTTTTTAAAATGGGCTTAAGGGCCGCACATACACATGTCCCAATACGGCTGAGGCTCAAACATACTCGATGTCGAGTCTGGAAGGCATCCCACAATAAGGATTATGAAGTCATCTACTTTAATTGTTTTCATATACCATTGCGATGTTATATCTGTTTTGTGTTTTATATTGCATATGTATATGTATCTATTATTGTATGGATGTTATGAACACATTTTCAGTGCACATGGGGTTCATTCCAATCTCGAATCCGGAGTTTCGAGCATGGCAATTGAAAAACTTATGGGTTTTTCTGAGTAAGCGCACCGCTTATGTTGAGATCTTTTAATCTCCATAATGTAAATCTGTTAACCAAACTATGTCCTTAGAATTTTAAGTTTTATATGATGGTTGTGAATTTCATTCTAGGCGCTAAATCATGTTTTCTTCATACACAAAGTGTCAAACATCGCTAAGCTTAATTTCACCATTTTTGAGGTTTCTGAAAGAATTACCTGAAGTGGATACAAGATGTTAAGCTCCATCTAAATGCAAAGGGTACAAGAACGACTATCGAAATTGGGAACGAAGCAAGTGAAACTAAGAAGGTAACCACTATGATCTTTATCCGCCACCACATCCATAACGCATTACATACTGAATATCTGTAGGATGAAGATACCTAAACTCTCTAGCAAGCATTAGCCGATTGTTTTGGTCACCAGAAGTTGATCACATTGCCTAATGCTAGGCACAATTAGATAATCCGAGATTTTAGGACTATAAGTTCGTGAATGCTATAACTCATAAGTATGTTGAATCCAATCACTACTCAAGTATAGTGAAGTTGAGTAAACTAAAGAAGATCTTTGGAAAAAGACATGCTCAACCTTCCTACGAAAATTGTCTTGCAACAACAACATCGAGCACAAAAATTTACTAAATTTGTAGATCTTATATCTGTTTTGTTGGTTGTGTTGATTGTTGTGACGATCCTGTGAACACGAAAATTTCCTGAAAGGAAAGAGACAAGAACACCGTGCACAAAATAATATTTGTATTTGATGATTTTGGGTTACAATCTCTCTTAAATTTGATCATCTGATTCGATCTCCGTAAGGTGTTGATTTGTGGATGTGCGATTGATCCAAAGGGCCGTTGGGCTTGATCTAAGGATGAACGTTCTTCAAGGGTCGTGGGCTTGATCTTGAGGGTGAGCATTTCTTTAAGGGCCGTTGAGGCTTGATCTTGAATAACGGTGATGAACGGATCCTCAAGGGGCTTTTGGGCTTGATCTTTGAAGAACAGTGATGAACGGATCTTCAAGGGCTTTTGGGGTTTGATCTTAAATTGATGGAAGTTCTTCAAGGGCCTTTGAGGCTTGATCTTGAATTGGTGGAAGTTCTTCAAAGGGCCGTCGGGGCTTGATCTTGAAGGTGGATGATTGTTGATCCAAAGGCCGTCCGGGCTTGATCTTGGAAAAACGATGAACGAAGAACGAAGAACGAAGAACGAAGAATGAAGAACGAAGAACGAAGAAGGCTTTCTTGATTCTTCGGGATGAACGGATGATGAACGATGAACACTTTCTTCAAGGGCCGTCGGGGCTTGATCTTGAATTGGTGGAAGTTCTTCAAGGGCCTTTGGGGCTTGATCTTGAATTGGTGGAAGTTTTTCAAAGAGGCCGTCGGGGCTTAATCTTGAAGGTGGATGATTGTTGATCCAAGGGCCGTTAGGCTTGATCTTGGAGGAACGATGAACGAAGAACGAAGAAGGCTTTCTTGATTCTTCGGGATTTGGATGCTTGAGAGCTTCGGAGTTTCAGAGCTTCAGAGCTTCAAGGTGTAATATGAATTGGTCCCCTGAAATGAATGAAATTGGCTTCTATTTATAGAAGTTTCCAATGCCTAATTTTGAATATAATATCCCAGATGAAATAAGTCGTTTCTGCCAGGTGTTGACACGTGTCCTGTTTGATGACTTTTCCAACTTATTTCGATTTTTTGTTTAGACACACGCTACGTGTAAAATTTATGTAATACATGAGCGTTGAAACTTTGATTTATCGGTCAACATTTATTTACCGAAATTTCGATGTCTACAAATGCCCCACTTCAAGGCGCGTCGTATACATGTGCTTGTCACGTGTAGGAGATGCGTTTTTGAAGTCCCTTACTGTAGATGTCGATCTAAGGGCCATCAAGGCTTGATCTTGAATTGGGCTAGAGATTTCTTTAAGGGTCGTTGAGGCTTGATCTTGAATTGGGCTTGAGATTTCTTCAAGGGCCGTCGAGGCTTGATCTTGAAGGTTGAAATTGGACCACAAAGAGCTTCATGTGGTAGATGATCCTTGGCTTTGGTAGTGGATGAATCGGCACGTATTTTGTTGCACTTGTTGACTTTCCACAACTTTGATCTTGAACTGGGTTGGAGGATTTTCTGGATTCCTCCAGTTGTTGACTTTCCACAGCTTATTCTTGAACTGGGTTTGATTCAAGGGTGGTGGACGCTTGATCTTGAATCGGACTTGTGATTTCCTCAAGGGCCGTCGAGGCTTGATCTTGAACTTTGGTTGGAAGCTTCTTCAAGGGCCGTTGAGGCTTGATCTCGAAGGTTGATTCGAACACATGGCAAGCAGGCACAAGGTAAAGGTGACGGCTTGTTTCTTTGTTCAATCTTTATAATTCACACCTGAGCAGTTTGGTCAATGGTATGATCTTTAAGGATTTGATTCAAGGGTGGTGACTCGGCATGTGCAGCCCACAACGCCTAGCGAGTCGACCCAAGTATTTGAGGGTCAAAACGAGTCCTCCACCCAGAGTGATTGCAACCCTGATGATATGAGATACTCTTACTTCCGAAGAAGTAGCGGATGAATCGGCACGTGCTTTGTTGTGTTTGTCTCTACATGCTTCAATGTATCATTTGCCTTATCTATTCTTCTGGCAGAATGTGGCATCTTCTCGAGTTCCTCAGCTTAGACTCCTTCTTCTCTCTAATTCTTCAACTCGGACTTCTTCTGCTGAGTTGATTGTGTATGCCGCATTTCCTTATTTGTTCTCCAGGAAGATGTGGCATCTTCTTGAGTTCCCTAGCTCAGACTTCTTCTGCTGAGTTGACTGTGCATGCCGCATTCTTCTCTGCTTGTTCCTTCTGCACGTTGTCTCCACATGCTGCAAGGTATCATTTTCACTTGCCTTATCTGTTCTCCAGGTAGATGTGGCAGCTTCTTTGGAAGTACAACAGCAGTGGAAGACGAGTACTCGAGAGCAGTGCTAGGTAGGCAATCAGGGAAGGGTTCCAAGCAGTCAGTTCCTTACCCGAGTTTGAGTGGAGGTTCCGGCATATTGCTTCCTTTATCCTTGTCTTTGCAGGTAAGAACAAGGACAAAGGAAAGGACAGGGAGAACGCATGATATGAGATACTCTTGCTTTCTACCCTGGTGATATGAGATACTTTTGCTTTGGTGTCATTTGTTTATAGAGGTACCCCAAGGAATAAGGAACACTGAGTGACTCGAGAGGCTTCGTTGGGAAGGCATTCTCTGAGATGAAGAAAGGTTCTGTATGTCTGCCTTGCTATGGAGGGTGAAGGTGGAGAGTTATAGGAAGTTCTTTAATACCTGTAGAGATACTATTATTTCACTCATGTCGGCAACCTTTGTGTGATTGATCAGTATGGCTTCACGTGCTTTGTTCTTTATCAGAAATCTTCAACAAATTGTCCGTAATTTCTGCCAAGCTGAGTGTGCATGTGACAGGTGTTGACGAGGCTGAAAAAGACTGGCGCCTCTTCGATATCTGGGATCGGCGCTTCGACAAATTGCCCGTGATTTCTGAGCTTGCCTCTTCGATTTTTTGAATTGGCCTTTTCGAATTCTGAGCTCGCCTCTTCGATCTTTTGAATTGGCCTCTTCGAATTCTGAGCCCGCCTCTTCGATCTCTGAAATCCGTCAAGTGCTGATTTTTATAGAGGCACGCAGTTCGTTTCAAAGCACACTTGAATTTTTGCTTGTAGAAACTCCCTTCTTGCACTTCTAAGATCCTGATTCGTCCGACCTCCTCCTTTTTTAACACCTTTGCAAATGTCTGGACCCTCCGACCGTCGTTTTGACTTGAACCTTGGTGAAGAGGCAGTCCCGCCTTCTCCAGACAGCATATGGCGCCCATCCTTCATATCCCCTATTGGTCTTTTTACCGTCGAGGACTCGGTGATGAAGAATGATATGATCGCTGCGGTGGTAGCCCGGAACCTTGTCACTCCCAAAGATAACAGACTACTTTCCAAACGGTCTGATGAGTTGGCTGTTAAGGATTCTCTGGCTCTCAATGTGCAGTGTGCAGGTTCTGTGTCTAATATGGCCCAATGCCTATTTGCTCGAACCCGTCAAGTTGAA